AGGAGGCCGCTGGCAGCTCTTGCAGATGACAGGGGAACATCTGTTCCAGGCAGCGTCTCTGCACCCGCTCGTTCGCCGGGAGGCGCCCCCGCTCCCCCAGTGAGAGCAGACTTGTGTGGTGGTCGTAGGTGGAATTTGGCTGCTTTCCGGGTACCCCAGGTTAAGTGCTGAGGGACTTGGGGCTACAGGTGAGCCCTGATTCAACAACAATCCAGAGTGGCCGGGAGGGCAGGTGCCTCCCCAAGGCCAAAGAGGAATGTCCCCAAGTACTGTGACCTGATGGGGGCAGGTGAGCATCGCTGACGAGGGCCCGGAGGCGGGGTCTGGGGATGCCCCCCATCCCCGCCAAGTCCTGAGATAAGGATTACGGAAGGAAGGGCCAGGACATAGAGAGGAAGAGGCTTCCAGAGACTGCATGGGTCTTAGTGAAAACGTTCCTTTTTGGAGCAGGTACAAGGGAGTAGAGGCTGTTGAATTGTGGTGCTGGAGGAGACTCTTGAGAGTCCCTTGGACTTCAAGGAGACCCAAGCAGTCCATCCTAAAGGAAATCAGTGCTGAATATTCATTAAAAGGACTGATGCTGAAGCTGAAGCTCCAATACTTTGGCCATCTGATGTGAAGAGCTGACTCATTAGAAAAGACCCTGATGCTGGGAAAGATTGAGGGCAGGAGAAGAAGGGGGCGACAGAGGATGAGATGGTTGGATGGCATCACCGACGCGATGGACATGAGTTTGAGCAAGCTCTGGGAGATGGTGAAGGGCAAGGAAGCCTGGCATGCTGCGGTCTGTGGGGCGGCAGAGAGTCAGACAAGGCTAAGCGCTGAACACCAGCAACAGGCAGAGGACTGGCCAGTCCTCCTGGTGGTTTAGGCTGTTGTGAGGATCCAAGCTGCCGCTGGGTGTGTGGGCTCCATCCATGCTGAAACGACACTTACGGACTCTGCTACTGGGAAGCACTTTAAGACCTCTGTCACGACTCCTGGGACCTGTCTCCATGTTGACCTTCCCTGATGGCGCAAACTTCCTCTTCTGTTTCCATTGCTCCATTGAACTACCCTTGGCACCGTGTAGAAGAGAGCCAGGGCTTGAAGGGGAAAAGTACTAGATGTTAAAGTGTCAGGACGTGGTCAGCTTGTGTGGTCCCACAAAACAGAGGGCAGCTGTCTGCAAGGAGCGTCGGATTCTGGAGTTGAGTCCGACACTGTCCCTTGGTCATTGCCGTGGCGTGACGGCCGTCCACGCCCACTGACCGGGCACGCCGGGCATCGGCCTCTGTGTCCTGGATGCTTGTCACGCAATGGGGACTTCCTGTGTCAAGGAAAGAGTGTAGAGTCCAGAGATGTATTAATAGGGTTCTCTGGAGAAACAGAAACAACAGGAGGTATTAAAGAGAATTGGCTCCCATGATTCTAGAAGCTGGGAGTCCCAGATCTGCTGTCTGCCAGCTGGACACCCAGGACAGCCAATGGTGTAAGTTCCAGTAAAGGCAGGAGAAGACCCGCATCCTAGCTCAAAACCAGTCAGGCAGGGAGACTGAATTCTCTCCTGCTATACCCCTTCTCTCTTTTTTTTAATGAGCCCCTGCTTTTCTACATTTTTATCAGTTCAGATATATCATCAGATGTATTGATCTTTACCAATCTATATGTGAAAGGGGTATTGCACTCTCATTTAAAATTCATTTCTCTTATTATGATGAGGCTGGGCGCCTCCTAGAGGCTTCCCTGGTGGCTCAGAGGGTAAAGCGTCTGCCTGCAATGTGGGAGACCTGGGTTCGATCCCTGGGTCGGGAAGAACCCCTGGAGAAGGAAATGGCAATCCACTCTAGTACTCTTACCTGGAGAATCCCATGGACAGAGGAGCCTGGTGGGCTACAGTCCATGGGGTCACAAAAAGTCGGACATGACTGAGCAAATTCACTCTTTCTGGGCACCTTTTTATTTTTAATTTTTTTTCTCGAAGTAAGTTAATTTACAGTTTGTGTTAGCTTCAAGGGTACAGCAAAGTGATTCAGATACATATATATATGTATATATATATATCAGATATTATTCACTCATATATATATTCATTTTCAGATTATTTTCCACTATAGATTATCATAAATATTGAATATAGGTCCTTGTGCTACATAGTAGGTCCTTGCTGTTTACTTATTTTATATATAGTATTAATTGTGTGTATATGTTAAAGCCAAACTCTTAATTCACCTCCCTTCCAGCCCCTTTGGTAACCGTGAGTTGTTTTTTTTTTTCCCATGTCTGCAGATCTGTTTCTATTTTGTAAATAAGTTCAGACATCTTTTAACTTGTATAAGATCTATTTAGATTAACTTTTCTGGGAAACATGCATACTTTTCTGGCCATTTTTTCTTCTATTATGGGTTGGTCCTCATTTATTTGTAGGGAACTCTTGATATATTAAGAAATTAACCCTTGTCTGGTATATGAATTGCAAAATGTTGGGAAATTTGATGTTCATAGGAAGATCACATAAGAGCAGCACCCCGTCCAGAACAAACACACAAATATTTCCCAATCACGGGGAGAACGCTGCACAGAGAAACTTCCACTCGAGGAAAACTGAACTCCTGAAGGGAGGTTTTGGCTTAGATGGCTGCCATGCTTTGTCAAAGAATCAGATGTGTATTATTCTGAAAAAACATAAAATTCATAGGTGTACAAATGACTATAGAGTCTCTGAATAGCCTACAGGGATTAAAAGTTACTCTTTTTCACCTGTCTATTGATATTAAACACTTCATATGCTTTTTGTTTTATTCAAGCCTCCAGTAGACTGCATTAGCGCCCTCCTTTATTATATATAATACAGCCGGCCTGCGACTCTCTCGTGGCATGTCCACCCCTTCATTGCACGACAGAGGAAGATGACAGCCTCCTCTGGGTAATTCCCCCCATGTCTTTCCGACATCACCACATCGGCCTGAAATGAAGATAAGCTCGCAGTTCAGCTGCCCTGTTGCCGACCCCACTGAGATGTCTATATCTCAGGGTGGAACGGAGAACAGTTGGGACATAAAAAATTATCTTATTTTCACACGACATGGAGAAAGAAAATGTGTTGTTTGACCCCAAATACAGCAGAAGACAGCTTGTGAACTAAAAATGAGACACCGAACACTTCCCTTGGCTTCTTTGGATAAATAAGTGTATAGACTGCTTAAGAGAGAAACTCAGTGGGGAGGTCTGTGAAAAGGGAGAAGCATGACTTACTTCGTGCAGGTGGAATAGCAGATGTGGGGTGTAAGTCAGTCATCCTTTATGAGCTTGACCCAGGTGGGCGGTGCTCACTGGGCTTAATTTTCATCTGTCTATTGATATTAAACACTTCATATGCTTTTTGCTTTATTCAGGCCTCCAATAGACTGGATTAGCCCTCCCTTCCCCCCTGGGGAGGATAATCTGCTTCACTCAGTCTACGGTTAATAGATACACTTGAATGATAATCTCATCTGGAATTAGTGCAACATCTGGGCACCCCATGGCCAATTGGGTTGGCAGGTAAAATGACCTGTCACCGTCAAACATCCTGCCCTGCTTCTAATCCAGAGCCCAACCGTCCCCAGCTACGCGGCTCCCACTGGCGAGCTCTGAACATCTCTGGACCTTGGTTTCCTCATTTTCAAAATGGACATAGAAGTTAGAAATGACCCAGAGTGCTGTGATGAGGCTTATGTGAGAAAATGCTCAGGAAGGGCTTAGGTGGCGTCCGGTCCACGTAAACACTGAGGAAGAGGCGCTGTCAGTTTCCAGGGCCTCACTGGGACCCCACCCTGAGCCCCCCACCTCCCAGACCCCACCCGCCCTTCCTGCCACAAGGAGACCCTTGACCCTCTCTTCCTTCCTCACACTCCCAGGCTGGACACAGACTGTCCTCTGCAAACACTCTCCAGATTAATGAAAATGGAGAAGTAAAAGTGTAAGTCACTTAGTCATGTCCAAATCCACGTGACCCCACGGACTGTAGCCCACCAGGCTCCTCTGGTCATGGGATTCTCCAGGCAAGAATACCAGAGTGGGTAGCCGTTCCCTTCTCCAGGGGGTCTATCCAAACCAGGGACTGAACCTGGGAGTCCTGCTTTGCAGGCAGATTCTTTATCATCTGAGCCACTGGGGGAGCCCTGGATTAATGAATGACGTCTCTAAATAGTTTTCATCCTCTTCCCCTAACGATTACTGAAGCAAAGTCAGTTACAGAAAGTAAAACATATTTCTCTGATCTGGGATGTCCTAAAAACAAACTTAATTAAAAAAAAAAAATTTAAGCTTTGGAGCAGCCAAAATGGAAGTACACACGGACTCCTTACAGAAAGTACTAAAAAGCGACTATTTCACGTATAAATGAGCATGGGGATTTACCGCTTCTCCCCATAGAGCAGGGGGAAGTTACGGCCGGCTCAGAGGCTGGAGAGCAGAGGAGAGTGGCCGTCACGGTTCAGAGATGTGTTGCAGACACTGGTCTACATTCCACGGCTATTTTGGATGATTAAGATCACAAATGAAATAGCTGTTAATCGACTCTATGAATTTTATATATGAAAAGAGACATTTTCTTCTTGAGTGCAAGTTTGCAATTTAGCTATATTTTAATATTAGCTTAGAAAATTAAAAAAAAAAAAAGACTATCTTAAAGCAGTATCGCATGAAGTTGGTGAAGGGTGACTGGGGAACCTTGCAGAAGCACCCGTCGGCCCAGAGCCCCCTCAGCAGTCAGGCCCAGCCAGGCCTGCGGGGGCCCGGGCCGCACCCAGCCACAGCCTTCCTCTGCTTTCTTACCTTGCTCCTAGCATTTTCTTTTACACAGAGTCATTAATTTTTTGTCATTTTTATTCTTTGTTCATTTACACATGTTGAATGAGGTTTTTTCCTAATGCTTAAGCTCTCTCACCACGTATCTAATAAATGTTAATGAACCCTTATGTCCTGGGTGCTGCGCTGGGTGCTCCGGTGATAGACAAGGTACCCGTGGTCTGAGCCTCCTAAGGATCGCTCGGCAGTGGAGGAGGGGTGTGAACAGGGGGTGACGACGAGGGCATTATGACGGGCCCGTTAGAGAGAGCGGGCCTCAGGGGCGGGTGCTGGACCCTCGTGTCCCAGGGCAGCGCCGGCCTCTGCCTCCAGCGGACCCAGGGCAGGTCTGCAAGGATGCCTCTCCCCTCCACGCAGCCTCGCTCACGCGGACTCCGGGCACCTCGGTGGGGACCGAGTGGTCTGCACCCGGCTCCCAGTGGGGGAGGGGACACTGCCCCCTGGGGCTCCTGCGGGGTGGCCCGCTCCAGTCCCCCTGGCTCCCCTGAGCCGTGCCGCCCCATGGCCATGGGCAGCCCTGGGCCACAGGCACCTTTCAGATACCTGCCAACCATGCTGCTCACACGAGGGACGCAGAGGTCCACGGAATGAATTAGGGATGAGGTAACTCTTATCAGCTCTTTTCCAAACCAAAGTGATCAAAGACCCCCTCCATGTCCTTCCCCTGCCCCTCAACTCTGCTCCTGAAATGAAACACGCAATTCCAGGAGCTTGCCTGCCTGAGAAAACAAGGCACCCAGATGCCACTGCAGGAAGCTGTGTTTCCTCGATAGAGCCCGGGAGCCAGGCCTGGCTGAGGGCCCTGCTGGGCAGGCAGCGACTCTGTCGGCTGGCCCAGCCCCCTTCTCCCGCCTGGTGGCCCACGATCCAGCCCCATCTTTCTGGGGAGCAATGACTTCTCCAGGCCTAAAACGTGCTCTTGAACCTGCGAGGAGATTAGCAAGACACCCATCCACTTCTGAGTCTCTCCTAGATGTCAAAATGTTGACTCAGTCCCTGCTAAAATGCAGCTTTCGAAAAAAAAATCACATCTTTTCAAATTTCCTGCAATCCCTGTCATGGGCAACATATGTTCCTGCATAATGATGCTCCTAAGTGAAGTGACATTTCAGAGTAATGAGGCTTCGGTGACAACGTGTGAGAGATGTGACAAGTTTTCTCTAATATAAAAAGGCAGTGTAGACAAAACCCAAATTCGCAGCCACGGCAGGCTCTCTGCTCGGCTGTGAACCCGGGGGGTGGGGGATGAGTGAGCACCCTTCTGCCCAGAGCCCCAGCCCTTGCGGGAAGCGTGCTGGGGACACGGTTCCCCATCCCGGCCTGCACACCCCACCTGAAGGACTGACAAGGTCACCCCCCCGAGGGGATCAGAGAGAAGACAGTGGGGCATGGAAGCCAGGTGCGGGGAGGGAGGAGCCAGCTCCGAAGGGGCAGCAGGACCGGGCAGACCCTGGACAAGCCACTGACTTCCGCTTCTCTAAACTCTGGTCTGCTCCTGTCTCAAATGAAGGACAATGATGACCACCTCCCATGAGTGAACCAGACGAAATGCAAAAGAAAATGCTCAGGAATTGGTGCGCGGGGCGGGGGTGGTTCCTCTCCTGTGTTATAATCCATCCCACTTTCAGCCCAGGTGGGAAAGGATGAAAGCTGGAAGTGGACAGTTTGGGCAACAGAGACCTCACTGGCCTCACCTCCTCTGAGGCAGGGTGGCCGGATGCCCCGATCTGCCTTCAGGCTTCCCTGGCCGTGCGGGGCGCGGGGCGCCCCTGAGCACAGGAGAGTCACCTCGTTCCGGGCTCCTGCTAAACCCTCCCGATCACCAAGGGCTCCTGGCTCCGCCCGCGAGAGCCGGGAGGACACAGCTTACTATTAACACCAAGTTCGTGGGTCTGTGGCACAGTGAGCTCAAACAAACTGAAATGTTGGAATTTGGAGTAGAGGAAGGTTTATTGCAGAGCCCTGCAAGGAGATGGGGTGGCTTATGTCCTAAAACGCCTCGAGCTGTCAGAAGGGTTTTGATAAAGTGTTTTTAACGGGCAGGTGCCCTCTCGGGGCCTGCGATCACGCCAGGCACGTTGGGCTAACTTTATCAGTCTCTGGGCTCCTGGAGGCCTGGGGCTCTGTGCTCAGGGTCCTCAAGTAGTTGATGGCTTCCCCTGGGGGAGGGGAGCATTTCACATCGGCAAAGCGAAATAACTGCATCGACTACTGCTAGTTAGGTGCTTCGACGAGGAGTTACAGCAGGGGATTCAGAAGGTCTGACCTGGGAAGGTCCAGCAGAGTCCTGCTTAGTTACATCACCTCCACCCCTTCTCAGGTCTCCAAAGGCCTAGCTTGGCCTCCTGCGGATGCCTCCCGCCCCAGGGCCTCTCAGGACCTGAGCGGATCACCCGGGCAGAGTGTCAGGGGCGGTCCCGGGGACATCAGTGTGGCGGTCACCCTCTTTGCTGAGAGCTCAGGGAGCCGGGGCCTGCCCCGGGGTTGGCGCCCTTCCCTCTTGGACCACGGAGGAGACACTCAAGGCCCTGAGTGTCCATCACCCTGCCCAGCCCTCCACACGTAGCCCTGGAAAACTCAAGTTTGTCTTATGAAAGGTGGTTCAATGGTGCCAAGATAAGGGCCCCAGACTGTGTCCTTCACCCTGCAAATATTTGCTGAATGTCTGCTGTGCCAGAATCTTTGCAGGGAGACAGACAGGCCCCAATTCAGGATGGGAATCACAGGGAAAAACCCCAGAAACCAGCTCTGTGGGCAGAGGAGGCAGAGATGGGCCACCTGAAACACCCCCTGAGCTGGGGGAGGAGAGGAGGTCCCCGGGACAGAGGGTGAGGCGATGAGCAAGACCACGCGAGGGTCAGAGCACGCGGCCAGGGTTGGGGTGCAGGGCAGGGGCACCTGAGTCCCCAGGGTCCGCCTGGACAGATGGCCTCCACTGTCCTCAGGGACAGCACTCCTCTCCCACCGCCTCCAGGCCCAGGACCCACAGCTTCCAAGGTGCGACCCTGTTCTGAGCCCCTTGCTTTTGAGCTGTGTGTTTGCGTCACTTCTGGACATTTACACAGCACTTCTCAAACCCAGCACAACCCTGTGGGAGTCCTGGGCACAAAAGCCTTTGTGTTTCTGCATTACAGGAAATAAGCTCGTTCAGCTCCCTTGACCTCCCCTGACTTCCAGCAGCAGGTTCAAACAGGAGCTGATCACGGAAGGGAGGGGCAGAAGGAAGAAGGAAGGGGCAGTCAGAAAACGATGGTACAGCCTGCGGACGGGTCCTGGTTCCTCCTCAAGGGACACACAGAACAATACCTTTGAGCTTTTCTGCAGATACTGAAACCCCTAGCAGGCAGAGAAGTTGACGGTCTGCTGCCCACCCACACGTGGACTCCAGACCTGGGGGAACCAGGAGGCTGATGATGCTGACTCCTGCTGACCTCACCACCAGCCAATCAGAAGAAAGTCCCTGAGCTGACCACGCCCTCTTTGAACCTTGACTTCCTCACTCCCCTTTCTAGGTCAGGACACACAGGTTTGAGGGAACCAGCCAGCTTTGGCCTCCTCTGCCTGGCAAGAAGTAGAGCTGTCCTTTTCTAACTCAGCCCCGACTCTATCTCCAAGATTTCAGGGCACAGAGGCTTCCCCGGTGGCCCAGCAGTAAAGAACCCACCACCAATGCAGCAGACACAGGAGATGTGTGTTCAGTCCCTGGGTCGGGAAGACCCCCTGAAGAAGGGAATGGTAACCCACTCCAGTGTTCTTGCCTGGAGAATTCCATGGACAGAGAAACCTGGCGAGTCCACAGGGTCGCAAAGAGTCGAATACAACTGAACATCTCACATGTTAATGGAGCACAGAGAGCAGATTCAGCTTCACTTCCAGTGACCAGCATTTCTCCACACATCCTTCCATGGCCCGAGGTGACCGTCCTAACAGTGCAGAGGCCTGGACAGCACAGCTCCACCCTGTCATTGTTGTTTAGTCGCTCGGTCGAGTCTGACCATTTTCAACCCCATGGACTGCAGCGCGCCAGGCTTCCCTGTCTTTCACTATCTCCTGGAGTTTGCTCAAACTTGTGTCCATTGGGTCAGTGATGTTATCTAATCATTTCATTCTCTACCACCCCCTTTTCCTGCTGCCTTCAATCCATCCCAGCATCAGGGCCTTTTCCAGTGAGTTGGCTCTTCACATCAGGCGGCCAAAGTATTGGAACTCCAGCATCAGTCCTTCCAATTCAGGGTTGATTTCCCTTAGGATTGACTGATTTGGTCTCCTGACAGTGCAACGGACTCTCAGGAGTCTTCTCCAGCTCCACAGTTCAAAAGAATCAATTCTTCGCTGCCTAGCCTTCTTGATGGTCCAGCTCTCACATCTGTACATGACTAACGGCAAAACCATAGCACTGACTGCACAGACCTTTGTTGGCAAAGTGATGTCTCTGCGTTTTAATATGCTGTCTAGCTGTGTCATAGCTTTTCTTCCAAGGAAAAGTTCAGTTCATTTGCTCAGTCGTGTCTGACGTTTTGTGACCCCATGGACTGCAGAACATTGGGCTTCCCTGTCCATCATCAACTCCTGGAGTTTGCTCAAACTCATGTCCATCTAGTCCGTGATGCCATCCAACCATCTCATCCTCTCATCTTGCTCTATCCAAGAAGCAAGCATCTTTTAATTTCCTGGCTGCAGTCTCTACCTGCAGTGACTTTGGAGACTAAGAAAATAAAATCTGTCATTGCTTCCACTTTTTCCCCTTGTATTTTCCATGAAGTGATAGATGCCATGATCTTAGTTTTTCTGAATGTTGAGTTTTAAGTCAGCTTTTTCACTCTCCTCTTTCACCCTCATCAAGAAGCTCTTTAGTTTCTCTTCACTTTCTGCCATTAGAGCAGTGTCATCTGCATATCTGAGGTTATTGATATTTCTCCCAGAAATCTTGATTCTAGCTTTTGATTCATTCAGCTTGGCATTCCACATGAAGTACTCTGCATAGAAGTTAAATAAACAGGGTGACAGTATACACTTTATCATACTATTTTCCCAATTTTGAAACAGTCATTCCATGTCCAGTTCTAACTGTTGCCTCTTGACCTGCAATCAGCTTTCTCAGGAGACAGGTAAGGTGGTCTGATATTCCCACCTCTTTAAGAATTTTCCACAGTTTATTGTGATCCACACAATCAAAAGCTTTAATGTAGTCAATGAAGCAGATGTAGATGTTCTTCTTGAATTCCTTTCCTTTCTCTGTGCTCCAACAAATGTTAGCAATTTGATCTCTTGTTCCTCTGCCTTCTCTAAACCCAGCTTGTCTGTCTGGAAGTTTTCAGTTCACATACTGCTGAAGCCTAGACTTAAAGATTTTGAACATAAACTTATTACCAGGCGAAATGAGTGCAATTGTGCGGTAGTTTGAACTTTCTTTGGCATTGCCTTTCTTTGGGATTGGAATGAATACTGACATTTTCCAGTCCAGTGGCCACTGCTGAGTTTCCCAAATTTGCTGGCATATTGAGTGCAGCACTTTCACAGCATTGTCTTTTAAGATTTGAAATAGCTCAACAGGAATTCCATCACCTCCACTATCTTTGTTCATAGTGATGCTCACCGGACTTCACATTCTAGGATATCTGTCTCTAGGAGAGTGATCACACCATCATGGCTATCTGGGTCTTTAAGACTTTTTTGTATAATTCTTCTGTGTATTCTTGCCAGTTCAGTTCAGTTCAGTCTCTCAATCGTGTCTGACTCTTTGTGACCCCACGGACCGCAGCACACCAGGCTTCCCTGTCCCTCATCAACTCCCAGAGTTTACTCAAACTCATGTCCATTGAGTCGGTGATGCCATTCAACCATCTCATCCTCTGTCGTCCCCTTCTCCTCCTGCCTTCAATCTTTCCCAGCATCAGGATCTTTTCAAGTGAGTCAGCTCTTCGCATCAGGTGGCCAAAGGATTGGAGTTTCAGCTTCAACATCAGTCCTTCCAATGAACACCGAGGACTGATCTGCTTTAGGATGGACTGGTTGGATTTCCTTGCAGTCCAAGGGACTCTCAAGAGTGTTCTCCAACATCACAGTTCAAAAGCATAAATTCTTTGGTGCTCAGCTTTCTTTATAGTCCAACTCTCACATCCATATTCTTGCAACCCCTTCTTAATATCTTCTGCTTCTGTTAGGTCCTTACAATTTTCATCCTTTATTGTGCCCATTCTTGTATGATATGTTCCCTTGGTAGCTCTAATTTTCTTGTAGAGATCTCTAGTCTTTCCCCATCCTGTTTTCCCCTCTATTTCTGTGCATTGTTCACTTAAGAAGGCCTTCTTACCTCTCCTTCCTATTTTCTGGAACTCTGCATTCAGTCGGGTATGTCTTTTCTTTTCTCCCTTGCCTTCCACTTCTCTTCTTTCCTCTGCTACCTGTAAAGCCTCCTCAGACGAGCACTTTGCTTTCTTGCATTGCTTTTTCTCGGAGATGGTTTTGGTCTCTGCCTCCTGTATAACGTTAGGAAACTCTGCCCGTGGTTCCTCAGGTAGTCTGTCTACCAGATCTAATCCCTTGAGTCCATTTGTTGCCTCCACTCTAAGAATCTCAAGAGCAGACCCCCTGAAGCTCCCAACAGCTCTGCTTGACCACAGATCAGGAGCTGAGTCCTACTGCTTCTCACCCGATTTATATGCCTCTCAGGCCCACCCTGGGGACCCATTGCACCATAAGGTCTTGCTAGTCTGGTAGGACTTTGTTCCTCTGCTAAGCCAACAGCTCCACAGGAAGCGGAGGCTTTCCCATCCTGCAGTGCAGGGCTGTGTCTAAAGGACACACCCTCATCCTCTGAGACACGCGGGCCAGGGCAAACCCCTGCACGGTCCAGCTCCAAGCCCGAGCCACACTGGATGCTGGCCCAGAGGGAAGGTGACAGGGTACTGATCTCAGCTTGGCCAGAGTCTACCCCTGGCTCCTCCTTGCCCCGGGACACGGGAGGCTGCCCCTCTCCCACTGGCTCTGTGCTCAGCACACCTCCCCGCCATCTCACACCGCTAGCGGGTTCAGTCGTGGCCCCGAGAGATATGTCCCACTATCTGGACTGCGATCTTATTTGGAACCACGGTCTTTGCAGATGCCATTCAGGGAGGGGTCTTGTACTAAGATCATCCTGGATTTGCCAGGGCCTTAAATGCAAGCACCTGTGGCACCAGGCCACAGGAGAGGAGACAGACCATGAACGAACAGACATCCAAGTCTGTGGTCCTTTGGGGCAGCTGCCCTGGGAAACATGCACGTGAGTCTTCTGTGTGTCTCTCTGCCCAGGGCATCTGCCGCCTGAGGAGCATCTGTCCACTCAGTCTGGACCGTGGGCCCTGAGGTTGGCACATTTGTCAAACTACACTGAGGTCTGGGCCCTTGGTCGCAGGGAGCGTCCTTGGACGTCATTCAGCAAGACCAGAGAGGACCTCTTGGTTTCTCCCACGAGGCGGAGGGGCTCAGGAAGCAGGAGTCGATGGCAGACGGTGGGAGGGAGGTGTGATGGAGCTCTCAGCAGACCTTTGAGAAGCAGGCGTGCGATCCAGGGCAGGTGGCTCGGCGAGGAGGGGCGTGCGAATCAGCGAGGCTCGTCACTGAAGCATGTTCTTCTGACACAAAGGCACAGCCCAGTGGCTACGGTTCAGCCGGTGTCGGCAGCGGTCACTCACCGAGGGCGGGCGGGCGGCGGTGCACTCTTGTCTCCAAGTCTGTCCCGCCTGGGAGTGAAGCCACCTCACGGCGTCACTTCTGAACTCCTTCCTGCCGTCTCGGTGTCCAGGGCGGCCAAGTAACAGCCATCGGGGGCTGCGACGTGGGTGGGGTGTGGACCACCCTCCCCTCTTTCTCTGCTAAAAACGGGGGCTGCCCTGGACCCTCGGATGGGGCCAACCAGGACATCTCTGTAAATTCCTGGGGACAGTGACGCCCCTCCACAGGCTTGGCACTGCAGGTCAGGGTGGGCCTCCTGCCCAGCCTCCAGGAAGACTGGCTGAGCACCTACTGTTCGCAGGCACCCAGGGGCGCTCTACATGCATACCCTGGGGTCCCCGGGGCCCCGCCTGTGAGGGCACAACACTGAGGCACATGGAAGCTAAACCGAGCGCCCACCCCGGGGTGCTGAGACCCCGCGTCCCCCCTGTGGGGCTCAGCTGTGCCCCGTGTTCCTGCAGCCCCAGCCTGGCCCCCTCCCACTCCCCGTCCCCACTGGAAGCTTATCGGCCACTGTCCTGCGAGAGGAGGCCTCTTCCCGCTGTCCGGGCTGGACACCCAGGCACAGTCCTGCCGAGATCACTCAGTTCCGGGGCCCTCGCAGCGGCCCGGCCGACCTCCCCAGCGGGGGGGCCCCCAGGAGCCTCACTCCTCCCGGCCAGGCCTCCGCAGTACCCCAGCCCGGGGTCCCTGCCCTCTTGCTCGATGGCAAACGCTGCTGCTCGGTCCTCCAGAGACCCCGGGCTGGCAGCGCCTTCCGCCTCTCCTGATGCGATGTCACTTTGGCCCTGACTCCAGGTCATGGCGGGGGCTCCACGCCCACCTGGGGATCTGCTGTCTGCGGTCTGAGTCCCCGGCGGGACACCTCAACCTGGTGTCTGCTCGCCCAGGGCCCCCCCCCGACCTGCAGCCTCTTCCCTTTCAAGCTCACTCATAAAAGCTTGCTGGGTGGCCACTGCCCCTGGGGCTCTGCTGGGCTCCAGGGAGCACTGGTGGAAAGTCGGAGACCCGTCCCGAGCGGGGGGCACCGGCCAACAGATACACGGACCACGGAAGAGGGAGGGGCGGGGGAAGCCGCCGTGGAGGCCTCGCCCTGGGCCTTCCTTGGTTCGCCCCACCCCGCCTCCCCCAACGTGTGGCTCTGTGTTTCTTTCCTTATTTATTCAGCGCTTGTCTCCTCCATAAACCCAGCAAGAACCACATTAGTATTAGTTAATATTTATTTAGCGCTCTGTGCCAGACTTCGGCGAAGGGGCTGACGGGGATTAGCTCATTTCTTTCTCGCAGCAAATCTCCAGGAAGTCCTGTTTTTTTCTCTGTAATGAAGACGAGACTCACGGAGCTTTCCGAGCCCGGGGCTGGCCACCTGCCTGCGTGTGGATGCTCCAGGGCTTGACTGGGAGGGGGTGGGGCTGGCTGTCTTGGAGGGTCCTCTGCCCCAGGGGCCAGGGCTCTGGGTGGCTCACACTGTGAGTCCCGGCTGTGAACACCACCACTGAGTGACCGAGTGACAGCTGATGTCACTGTAATGGGGACACGGTGCTGTGTGGCCTTCCCCTCCCCCGCTTCCGGATCACTCCAACAGGGCCACGTGCAGCACTGCCTCCTGTGTGTCCACAGAGAGACTCAGACGGGGACTCAGAGTACCTCCTCATCTCCTTGGGAATCCGGAGGGCACCCTTGCAGTCCGAGGCAATCTGATCATCCACATGCTCCCATGCCTGGGGGGCTTCCTGGAGGAGTAGGTCCCTAACCTTGCAAAGGACTCACTGCTGAGTGCCAGCTCCCAGAAGCCCCAGAAGTGGCACAAGGACCCAGGACAGTGTCTGGGGCTGGGCTCCGGCTCTGCCACTCCTCCTGGCACCTGGAACAGGTCGTCCATCTGCTCCTGGATGTGCCAGAGCCCCCCAGGTCTTCCCCATCTGGCTGGGCCTCCCGGAGCCACATGGGAGCCCAGCTCACCTAGAGATGGGCCTGGCCTCTGGGAAGACCGAGATGCAGGCAGCACACTCGAGACATTTCCAGCCACAAACGCTGGTGAGAAGAGCATTTCTAAGGATTAAAGTCTGCAGAAGCCTAGCTTATCCAGTGCCTTTACCCTTTGGAGAGTCCAGGATTCGACAGAGCCAAAAGCCAGCTTTAGTCCCATGCCCTCGGTGTGCTGAGAGCTGCTCAGGCCGGAGGGGCTCTGCCCGCGGGCACGGCCAGTCCTCCTACTGTTCCCATCACGTCCTGACTTCCTCCTTGGGCTCCGCAAGTCTTCACAGCACACCTCGCCTTGGAGTCCCTTCTTCTGGCTTGTCTGGGATTCAAAAACCACGGAACCAAATTGCATGCAAAACTGGATTAACCACCCAGAGGGAGGGACCGAGACCTCTTTTCTAGAGAGGTGAGAACTCGGGACCCCTATTCAGCTTCTCAGAAGAAACCCCTTCATCTACCAAGCTGTGCCGTTACCTGCCCTAAACCTTGGTGAAAAGAAAACCTCTGTCAGCTCAGAGGGCTCATCATGCAGGTGGGATTTTCCCAGCATGCACTGGTGGAGGGAAGCCGTTGCCAGGATTTATACAGCCCCTTCCCCCACGGAGCTCCAAAGCATGCACATTCCATCATTTTAGCCTTTTATATACTCACTACAGTGGTTTGGGAAACATTTCAAAATTAGACAGGCATTAGCTTAGCTTATAAAATTAAAAATAAACTGTAACGGCTTTAATGATGTTGTATTAAATGCCAGACCTCATAATACCTCACGTTTCTTTAATACTTTATGGCTTTCAGTGCACTTTTAAATAACTCCTCATCTGTGAAGGGTTTCACAACAGGCTGGTCTCACTGCTTGGGGCTGGTAGCTCGAGGCCCAGATGGCCTCGTGTAGGCTGACCTCCTCACCCTGGCAAAGGGCCTCCGGGTGTTCCTTGGGGAAGATGCCCAAGGCTGACTGGGATTGCAGAGCTGCCAGCAGGTCCATCAGAGAAGACAACTGAGAAACGTGCATCAAAACTACAATGGTACCACCTCACACCGGTCAGAACGGCCACCATCAAACAGTCTACAAACAGTAAGCGCCAGAGAGGGTGTGGAGAAAAGGGAACCATCCTCCACAGTTGGCGGGATTGTAAATTGGTACAGACACCGTGGAGAACAGGGTAGGGGTTCCTCAAAAAACTAAAAACAGAGCTACCATATGATCTAGCTATCCCACACCTGGGCACAAATCCAGATAAGACTCTAACTCGAAAAGTTACACGTATCCCGGTGTTCATAGCAGGAAAGTTCACAACACCCTAGACACGGAAGCAATCTAAGTCTCTGTCATCAGAGGAGTGTATAAGGAAGATGTGATACATTATATATGTCATAGGTACATATGGTATGTGTACACACAACAGAATATTACTTGGCCATAAAAAAGATCAAAATAATGCCATTTGCAGCAACGTGAATGGACCTAGAGATGATCATACTAGGTAAAGTAAGTCAGACAGAGAAAAGCAAATATTGTATGGTGTCACTTACATGTGGAATCTAAAAAAAAAAATGATACAAATGAACTTGTTTACAAAACAGAAATAAACTCACAGACAGAAAACAAACATGGTTACCAAAGGCGAAAGAGGAGGAGGGATAAATTAGGAGTTTGTGATGAACAGATACACACTTCTGTATACAAAATGGACAAGGGCCAGCTGTAAAGCCCAAGGGACTACATTCAGTGTCTTATGACAATCTATCATGGAAAACAACACGTCCTTTGTACGTATACGTGTGACTGGGCGACTGCCAGCACCAGGGAGTGAAGCCAGCCTGTTGTGTTGGCAGCTATGTAACTGTAACCGAATCACTCTGCTGGATGTCTGAAACTAACAAATGGCTTTAAATCAACTGCCCTTCAATAAGGGCTTCCCAGGTGGCACCGTGGCAAAGAATCTGCCTGCAATGCAGGAGACACAGGAGATGCAGATCCAATCCCTGGGTTGGGAAGATCCCCTGGAGAAGGAAATGGCGACCCACTCCAATATTCTTGCCTGGAGAATCCCATGGACAGAAGAGCCTGGAAGGTTATAGTCCATGGGTTTGCAAAGAGTCAGGAGTGACTGAGCATGCATGAGCATACTCCAATAAAAGTTACAAAAGGTCTACCAAGGAGACACCACTCCCTCAGCTCCAGCAGGGAGGAGGATGGTCAACCTGCCCACAAGTGTCTTCTGCCAGGACGAGCTTCGAAAGCGGGGGCAAGAACATCCCCTTATCCGGTGAGTCCCCTCTGGTCCCCATGTCCTGTGTGGAGTTCCAGTCTGGCCTCGGGGCCCTGCGCTCAACCGGGACCTCTGCTGTACCTGGGCCCTGGCAGGAACCTCGTTCCTGCTGACCCTCAGCAGGCGGCGGCAGGGAGGTGCTGACGGCCCGCTGTTTACGAGGACGCCGAGGGCCTGGGAAGGGGGACGGGGCCCGGCCAGAGAGCACAGGTGGGGTGACCTCATCGGCTGTACCCACCCCCAGAGCTGCGCAGCGTGACTTGCACGCTGTCCTGCAGAAAGTAAGGGGTAACCACGCTCGTTTCTGGAGCCGATCGTCAGTCGAGCCTCGCCCTGAATGGCCCATGCCTCCGTCCCCGTCCACTTCCTTCCCCTGTGGACCATCAGCCTTGCTCCTCTCCTTGTCTCCCTGACTCACAGCCCTGATCTTGCCCAGGGCAGAAGCCCTGGTGCTTGAGCTGTCTGAGTTGAGCAGCTGCTGGGCCGGGGCACATTCTGTGCCATCTGTGCAGCGGGCGCAGCCAATTACTTCATCAGGAACTGTGTGTCATCTCCCATCAGCTTATTGCTTTGCTTTACTGACATACCTTCTTGCTCTAGACTTTTCAATCTTCAAATCAAATTTCAGGTTAATTTCCATGTACCTAGTCCTATAATTTCTGGACTGTGCAGGTTTATAAGTTATAAGTTGCAAGTTATATATGCAATCTTCGTAATTATGATAAGGAATATTTTACCAATTATACTCCTGGAGCTAGAGATTACAATTTTGTAAATATCTTTAGTCATTTTCATATAAGAGCATACTATAATGTAATAGATTTTTTTAGTATAACAATGAAATAGACTAATATAATTTGTTTATTTTGGGGAATAAATGATTCTGGATAAGGTTTCTGAATATCTGTGTAATTATCAAGTTAAGTCTAACGCCGAATCTTGTTATGTAGTCTTAACAGATGCTGGCTATTTCAGAATCTTTTCCATCATTCTTTGTTGTGGTTGTTCAGTCACCAAGTCATGTCTGATTCTTCGAGACCCCATGGACTACAGCACGCCAGGCTTCCTGGTCCCTCACCATCTCCCAAAGTTTGCCCAAGTTCATGTCCATTGAATCAGTGATGCCATCCAACCATCTCACCCTCTGTCACCATCTTCTACTTCTGCTGTCAGTCTTTCCCAGTATCAGGGTCTTTTCCAATGAGTTGGCTTTTCACATCAGGTGGCCAAAGTATTGGAGCTTCAGCTTCAGCATTGAATATTCAGGGTTGATTTCCTTTAGGATTGACTGGTTTGATCTCCTTTCAGCCAAAAGGACTCTCAGGAGTCTTTCCCAGCACCACCATTAGACAGCATCAATTCTTCGGCGCTCAGAAGAATCATGGTCCAACTCTCACATCTGTATATGACTACTGGGAAAACTGTAGTTTTGACTACATGGACCCTAGCTTCTGGAAACCACAATTCTAGTCTCAGTTCCTATGAGCTCAACATTTCCGGGTTCCACTTGTAAGTGAGATCATGCAACGTTTGTCTTTCTCCCT